ATTGTATTTCTTTGAAATACTTTAATTTTTTTTATAATTCGTAATTTTATATTCTTTAATTGTATTTCTTTGAAATACTTTAATTTTTTTTATAATTCGTAATTTTATATTCTTTAATTGTATTTCTTTGAAATACTTTAATTTTTTTTATAATTCGTATTTTTACGTGAAATTTTATGTTGCTTTTTTTTGGTAGAAATAAAGAATTGATTATGATTAATTAATATAAATGGACTATAAATTATCATATATTAATTGTATTTTATATTTCGATTTATTTCAAAGGTTTTTTATTTAAAAATCCACGCAGAACATTGCTATTTATAAAATCTGCGCAGTTTTTTATTAGAATTTTCCTCTAATGTTTTGCGCCAGGGTATAAGATCTGCGCAGATATAATTTCTGAAAATCTGCGCAGATCTGCTTTCCAAAAAATTTCCTGATGGTAATGAAATACCTTACTTACATATAAGTTTTAGCTTCTTTACTTTTTTGTAATCTTGCAATTTCATTATTATGTTGAGTAAGATCTTTATTCATATCTACTTTAGTATGGGTTGAGTTTTTTATTGAATCCTTTAAAAACATGCAATGCTTTACACCAGTGCATGTTTTATAGTATTTTTTTACATTACAATTCAAATAAGGACTCCAAATTGGTTTTTCACCTCCACCCATTGGTTTTCCGGTCATGTATTATATCTATTATTATTTAAAATATTAAATATATTCCTTTAAAAAAATTTCTAATTTTTTTTTTTTTTTTTTAAAATTTTCGGATTAAACCTAAAACGATAGGATAGGATAACATCGTGAATTTATATATAAATTACATAATTAAAATTAAACACCTAGAGCTTGAAAAATTCAAACCCTATAACTAAGTATTTATCGAACTATGACTAAATCTATCATAAAAATTTATAATAAAAATTTCACACTATATCTAAATATTGCTAAACTATATCTAAACTAGAGCGTTCGTTAATTTGATTGTTGTATTCCAAGATTTAGTTATATTAATACCTTCTGTGATTAATCCTTTCATTTTGTCTAACGTTACTAAGCTAATCTGTTTATTTATATTTGTATTTTTTTCTGTTTTAACTAAATTTTCTTTTGTTTTTTGTTTTTTAATTTTCTCTGGTATTGTATCCGTGTCAGTATCGTCTTCTAATATATTATCTTTCACATCTCTTTTCCTTCTAAGATCTATTTTTTTAATTTGTTCTCGTTTTTCTAATCTTTTAATTTCTTCACATCGTGGAATCCATATTCGTTTCTTAATCTCGTCGTACGTGAACATCCAAAGCTTTTTGATTAAATCTCTATCTTTTTTCTCTTTAGATAAATCATTGAATTTATTATTATAAATCCCTCTTAGTAATTCCCATTTTCTGTTTTTCCTCAACAAAATATTTGAAGGACTTTCTATTATATTAATAAATTCGCAATTGTAATTTCTTAAGATTTCTAGTTCTTCGCTTTGGTTAGAGTTAGCTAAAACCTTTTCGAAATTATATGGTGATTCTCATATGATTTCGTCAATTGATATATCATTATCTTCACATATCCATATGTGTTCCCAGTCTTCTGTGAAGATTTCCCCACATCTTTTACATTTGTCTGTGTCAATTTTGTTCGTGTTTCTTTTGAATAAGATGTTGTATGTGGGCAGTTCTTTAAGTAAATTTTTGATTCTGTATGAGCGTTCAATTGTATCTTTATCACCACATTGTCTTTGCGAAAATTTAACTCTGTTACTAATAAATTCAAGACTTGTGATCCAGTCGAATTCGTTTCTATAATTGTACATAAATAGATCTTCTAACCTTTCGCTGTTTAAGATTTCATTTTTCCAAATTGCTAGCGTCACTGCTTTTCTCCAAGCTCGGAATCCTCCTGTTATTAATTTGTTATTTCAGATTAAATTATATTCATTCGTAATTAAACCTTTGTCTATCAATTCAAAATTGTATTTTATCGTATCTACTATCTTATTGTTTTTTAACATTTCCTGCATCTCTTTTCTTTTTTCTTTTATGATTTTCTGTATATTCTCTTTACCTTCAATTAATTCGATGTTATTTGTTTCTAAAAAATTTTCTAAAAATAAAAGCTCTAAATAGTAATCACTATCTATTTTTTTCCTGTTGCTAAAATTGTTAATAAATTCAATTATTAGTCTATTGACTTTCTCGTTTATTCCTAAAATTAATTCACTATTCTCACTAATTATCATAATTCCTATAATTATACATCTAAGAATAATTTTGAATTCGTTTTCATCATTGCATTCATAACTCGCTAGTAATATCAATTCCTCGCTCTCTTTTTCTTCGTAATTCAGTTCAAATATTTTCCATATTACATTATATCGATAAACTCTTTTGCCTTTATTGTTAATTTCCCATTTCTTTTTATTTGTATCAATTAATAAACAAAATCTTCGTTTTGTTATCAAAATCAAATTATCTTCTTCTTCGAAAATACTATTTTTGATTATATCCAAAAAATTTTTTTCGTTCGTTTTAATTATTTTGTCGATAATTTCTATTTTATTATTAAACGACTCATCTTTTTTATCTTCTTTTGTATATGTTCGTAACCATTCATTCTTTTTTATGATGTTATTTAGAGTTTCGTACGGTTTAATATAATCTTCTTCTTTTCTTCTATCTAAATTTCTACAAATTTCATTTTCTATGTATATTAAACATTCTTTACTACCCTTTTTTTTACTAATGTTTCTATAACATCCTTGACATTTCTTCAGTTGAGGCGAATTGTTTAGATCATAACTATCTCCGACTAGTTCTAAATGTATTCCTATTTTTTTATATTTTTTACTCTGCGATTTTTTTTTGTTAATACTAAATATCGGGTATTCCTCATAGTCGTTCCAAGTTACGATACTATTTTTATCCGATTTTTCATCTTCATCGAAATAGTTTATATGAATATTTTCTTTTTGTGCTTGACCTATAAATTCGTTTCTTATTTTCCTTACTTGTCTACTTTCATCTGCTATTAGTTTTAATTCTAATTTTTTAAACCATTTTGGCATTTTACCTTTCGTGTTCTTTCCTCTTTCTTTACATAAATGCTTCCATTTTAGTAAAGTGATACCGTCCACTTCTAGGATGTCCTCTAAAAACATTATATTTTTTGTTTTTCTTGATTGAATACTTGTTATAAAATCCTTACGCTCCATTAATTCAATTAGATCAGTCTTTCCTCCTTTGATTCTATGGCTTTCTCTAAAATCTTTTATTTCATGATTACATATTTTAATTTTTTCGTTATTTAACGCCTTTAGAGCTGATATGATCCAATTATTTTTCCTGTAATTTGTTATTTCTATTTCTCCAGGACATCTCGAAGTCCATATGTTTTTCTGTTCTTGGATCATTTTGATTTTAAATAAGATTTGTAATTTATAATTTCCATTCGCCTGATAAAGCAAATTCTTACATATCATTTCCATCTGTAGGTCGTAAATATGTTTTATACCTAGGATGTCTTTATCATAAATTATAAAATTCGGAGTTGATCTTGCTAGGCCAGCTCTTTTTTTAATTATCATATTTATTCTTGTCATCAATTTCTCACATTCCCATTTCTTTAGGACTATGGCTGCCAGCTGATACTCTATTCTTGGTACAATAACTATATTCCATACCGCGATGATTTGTTTTTCGTTTAATCTTTTCCAATTAAATATATTGCAGGTGTTATTTATTATTGATGTTATTTTCTTTTTATATATTTCTCTTTTATTGTCGTATCTAAAAAATATTTCTAGGTAACGATTACCTTCTTCGCTGTTTGTTTTTGTGATTAGTTCTCCTTCAATTGAAAGGTCTTCTTTGTCGTTATTTATTTTTATAAGTTCGTATTTCGATACATTTGCTTTTATGTCATTTATATTGAAGAATTGATGACATATCTCGATCATTTTTTCTAATTGTTTCTTATTTTTGCTAATAAGCGTTGTATCGTCCATGAATGCTGTAACATTAATCGATATTTCAATTATTTCTTTATCTTTTATTTTGTTTTTGTCAATTATTTTTTCCTCGTATAAGTTATAACCTGTCTCCTCTTTCATTTCGTTTAATCTACTTAGAAGCGGGTCGTAAAAAATTCTTCACAGTAACGGCGACCATACTTCGCCTTGGTCGATACCGTCTTCTACATGATATTCATCTGTAAGTTCGTTATTTACTAAAACCCTATTATATCTATTTAAATTGACGTCCATGACTATGTTAATAAAATTGGATGGCAGTTTAATTCTTTCTAGGCTTCTTTTTAGCATTGTCGTGCTTACTGAATCGTAAGCTTTAGAGATATCTATCATTAGTATCCATGCTTCTTTTTTATAACTATTAGCGTCTTCTATTATTGCTTGGATAATTTTTATTGGTTCTAAAGTGCTTTCGTTTTTTAATGCTGCGAAATTCGTATTTGTCAAAATCTGTTCTTTTGTTAAAATTTCGCCTAGTCTATTTACCAATATTTTAAACCAAATTTTTCTTGCCGTTTCTAAAAGTATTATGGGTCTCGTCAAATTTAAATCTTGATTCCAATTAGAACGTGAAGTTTTATTAATTGGGTATATGAATCCTTTCTTCCACTCATCCGTTACGTTCTCTTTAGCCATGCTATCATTAAAGATATTTAGTAATAGATTCCTCGTTAGGTTTCCGCTTTTCTTCCAAAAATCGTAAGTTATACCACTTGATCCTGGTGCTTTATTTGTTTTGAGGTTTTGTAGTACTCTTTCTAATTCTTCCATCTTTATCGGTATCATCAGATTTTTATAAATATCTTCCTTTATATCTTCATTCGGTGTATAGATTTCTCTCCATTCCAAATCATATTCTAGTTCATCTAGGTCTATTTCTCGTTTCTTTGTCTAATCCTTATTGTGTTTTAACACTTTTTCCTTAATCTTTTCTTTGTCTTTTTCTATCGTGATTTTCCCATTCTCTTTTATTACTAATCCTGTCATATTGATTTTCTCTCTCTTTTTTTCTAAGATTCTATTTAACATTTTTCCTATATCTTCCTCTAGATACGTTTCACGTTTTTTTATGTTTATTTCTATATTCAAATTATTAACTTCCTCGTAAAGGCTTCTCATAATTTCTGCTCTTTTTGTTCTTCTTTCATTTAACTCTTTGCGGTTTCTATGTTTTCTTAGTTTGTCGATTGTGATTCCGTATTCAATATTTTTTTCAAGTCTGTTGTGTATGCTGATTAATTTTCCTAATTTAACCGCATTGTGTTTACCTGTGTCCGTTGTTCCCCATTGCTCTATTATTAATTTTTCTTCAAATTCTTTGAAATTATGTTTGTATTGAAAGGCTTTTCTATCTTGCCATAATTTTTTTATAACTTTATCTATTAACTTGCTGATTCCGTGTTCTATCGTGTCAATTTTTTCTAAATTTTCATATTCTGTGATTAATTCCTCTAATCTTTCTTCGTTTGTTTTCGTTAAACTTTCGTCTCTTTTTTTTATCGAATCTTCTTTTCTTTTTTTGATTTTGATTAGTTGTCTATTCTTTTCTTCATCGTATATTTCTACTATCGTTTTCCAAATCGTTTCTCTATTTAAATGTTGTGTCGTATTCTGATCTAGCGTTTCTAATCTTGTTTCTAGTACTTCTTCTGCTATTGTTTTCCAATCTTCTTGTTCTAACTTTATATGTCTTATTTCCTTTTTTATTTTTTTCATAAATCCGGATTTGTTTATTCCTAATTTTTCTTTAAGTTCTATTTTGACTGTTAGTGCTTTGTGATCTGTATCGAAATCTTCTATTTCTAGTATCTCATGACTTATAATACTTTCTTGAAGGCCTTCGCTTGCGAAAATAAAGTCTATCCTGGATGAATTATCTCCACTCTTCCATGTGTCTAGTTTATCTTCCGCTGCTGTTAAACTTTCATGAATGTCTTGTAAGCCATGGTTCTTGATTATGTTCGTTAACGGTTTTAATTTTTTCTTGTTTTTTGCTGATTCATTGAAATCTCCCAAAATTATCGTTTCATATTCTAAATTTATTGCTTCGTTCATCCATTTTGCCAAATGTTTTTCTATATTATTTGTAGTTGGTTTGTCGTTGTTTGGATTGTATATTCCTATGATTCTTATGTTTTTCTGTTTTCCTTTGAATAATAAGTCGAATTTGATCACGTGACCGTCAATTGTTTCTATCTTGTATCTTCTATCATTGATGTCTCTTCTTATCATTATTATTATTCCGTTCTTATTGTTTTCATTGTTGTAGCTACTGTTAATACATTCGTATTTATCCTATCCTTTGTATATATATTTACCTTTTGCTTCTTTAAGTTTAGTTTCATTAATTATTACTATATCCCATTTTTCTTTTGATAAAAATTTTCGTATATCACCTTGTTTTTTTGTATCGTTCATCCCCCTTACATTTATGCAACCTATTTTTAGTTTGTTGTTTTTATTTTCTTTTTTCTTATTGTTTTCTTGTTGTTTTTGTTTTTTGTAAATTTTTTCTTTTTTTGTTTTGTTTGTTATTATATTTTCCTCTTCGTTCTTTTCTGAGTTTTCTTCGCCTACGCCTCCTTCTTCTTTATTCTCTTCTTCTGTTATTGTGTTTTGGTATAATGGCCAATCAATAGCGTCTAGCCATTCGACGCCTATCATTGGATCTATTTCCTTCATTCCAATCTCTGATGTATCCATTGTAGTTATTATTTCCATTCTCGTTGTATCTATCGGTGTTGTGATCGTTGTTATTGTAGTCGTTGTTTCCATTGTATCTTTGTTGTTGGTGATAAAAACTTTGTCGGTTTCCTCTAGTCTCATCTCTACCATTTTCTCTGTTATAGTTGTCGTTAAATCTACTTCTTGGGTGTGTATGTTTTCCTCTTTTGATGTAGGCATTGTATCTGTTGTCGTTGTGTTCGTTAAAAGGTTGTTGTTGCATGTTGTATCTGAATTTTCCTTCGTTGTCGTATCTGCCTTTTCTATGTCTATACGCTTCATTCCAATTATCGTTCCTGTTTCTTCTGTTTTCATGTGTTCTATTTCTATTGTTGAAATAACATTCGTCTGTGATGTGGTTGTTCTTTTTACATATATCGCATCTGGATCTTTTGGCCTTTCTTCCATCGTGCATTTCTTGTTGAAATCGTTTGCCAAGTTCGTTATCATTTCTTCTTTCATTACGAAAATTATTCTGTCTTCTCGGCGCAGTCTGAAAAAACCAAGTAAAATTCTTACCGTCAATTTTGATTTTTCTGCTAATTGTTTGTTTTCTGTCTTCTTCGTTGTTGAAATATATCTTCATGTTGTACGTTCCTTTCGTCCTGTTGTTGGTCTTGAACCAATATCTTAAACTGGTAGTCTTAAGTATTTTTGAAAATGTTGTTTCGTCAATTTCGTTGGGTATATTGAGTATATCCGCCACGATTCTTTCTCGTTGTTTGATTATGTGATATTTGTAATTCATTGGTTCGATTTTTATCATTTTATTTTTGACTAGGACTCCCCAGGTATTAAATAGTTCGTCCTCTGTACATTTAATGTCCATTTCTAGTTTCATGCTTATCCATTTTTCATTTCCTGTTTGTTGTGTTACGTTTTTGAGTTTACCTAATTTGTTTTCTATTGCTTGAATAACTTCGTTGATGTCTGTTGTTTTTCCGTCTATTCCGGTTGCTGATATGGTGATTGTTTTGTTCAATTTGTTTAGCCATTCTAAATCTCTGAATTTTCCTATCGTTCCCATTATTCTTCCATCGTTTATAAAATCGTTTTTCGCTGCTTCTGTAAAAAAGCCTAAGTATGTGTATTTGTTTCCATGATGAGTAGTTCTTCCAAGTGTGTTCACGTGATATTCTAGAATTTTATTGGTATTGAGGTATTCTATTATCGATTGGTCAGTTTGTCCGTCCCTTATTTGGACTGTGAAAAGTCCCGCGAAATATTTCAGATCTTTTTCTGATTTTGGTTGGTGCACGGACGCTTTGCTTTTATTGGGATTATCTCCCATGTTGTGATCGGCGGTGATAGCCATTGTTAATGATTGGTCTCTTGATTTTGTAAAATTTCTATTTTTGTTCTCAACCTGCATTCTCGAAGTATTATTGGTGTTTTCGTTTGTCTGGTGTGATGCTTTGTTGTAAACGTGGTATATTTGGTTCATTTTCCCTTCATCCCATGATTCTTCACTGGGTGTGTTGCTTTCTAGTTCCCACGTATGTTGAAATTTATCGTTGTCTTCGTCGCTGTCCTCGTCGAGGTTATTCATAGTTTTCTTTCTACATTCATTCATAATTTTCTCTTTTTCCTGTTTTTCGATTCTTGTCCTGTCTTCCTTATCTACAGTTCCCAGTTCGGTTTGTATTTGGTACGCTTTTATCGATGTATTTTTGAAATAGTATTCTTCTTTGATGTTCCACTGTTCTTCTTTAAGTCAGGCCCATTCGTTCATTTCTAAAGTTTTTTGTTGTATCATATCGTTTATTGCTGTCTTGTAATCTTCTATGTATTCGTTGAATTCTTTTGTTCTTTGGTTGTTGAAATGTCTAAGGCATATTGTGATTATTCCTCTAATAAAGCAGCCTAATATTTCGTCTTCTGGGCCCAAAAATTGTGCTATTTCTTTGTCGTTGTCAGTTATTTCCATTCCTGCGTTTTGTATTATTGCTCTACGCTCTTCTTTGCTTTTTTTTGCGTATCCTTCCAGGGTTACGAAGTCTTCTCTTGACGGTGTTATACCCATGTTTCTAATAAATTTTATTTTACTGCGGATTATTATGGAAATCAATTTATGCAGGAGAGAGTTTTTTCTGCATATTTTTGAAAAAAATTTCTAATTTATTTCAAAATCAGAATAATAACTGAAATACACAGAATATTTTACATATAGGTTTGAATTAGAGCGTACAAATTAAATCTTTTGGTACTTATATTTTTAAATGCTGGTTCATAAGAACCCCAATTCTCTATGTTATAACAAATTGCGATATCTTCCAAAGATGTAGGTGGATATTCCATTGGAAAGATTGTATGTCGAATCTCATTTACTCTTAAGCATTCAGTTAATAAATAAATTTCATCATTTTGATTAAAATCAATAGTTTTATCCTAATAAATAAATAAATAAATAAATAATCTTTAAATATCTTAAAATCACTATATTTGTACCTTTATTTGGGTTTCAATAACTTCTAAATTATTATCATGAGTCAAGTCAATTATATTATCTCCATTATCTTTAATCAAATCATAGACATCGTCAAATTGCATTTTGGAATAAGGATAGAAATAAAGATAATATTATCAGTTTATAAACAGTAAATAAGCCAATATATTAACAAATCAAAATGGAAAATTTAAAATGAAATTGATTTAAAGAGAAAAATTTTATTGATGGTAGCTTTTTATATTTATTTAGAGTAACACACATCAGCACATTAGTACTGTAATGTTAGTGGTCAAATTTTGGATGATTTAAATTCAATTATGATGAAGTAAACTCTGTGCCAATCATAAGTTAATTAAAATACTATATTTTGTTACTATACTATAGAGTTTTGTAGTACTGCATAAAATTAGCATAATTATATAGTATTAACCAGTAAATTATACTCTGCATCCTCTGTGGACTCAATTGTGAAAATATATACTCATTAACAAGTGAAATAACTAAGCCAAAAATGATTAACAAGCAAAATAAACTGAAAATGATTATCCTTTACCAAATGAGAAAAAAATTATGTTAATAGCTAGTTAAGAGTAATTTCTCAATTTTTTTTTATAAGATATGTTAAATATAATAAAAATTTTGCAAATAAAGTAAAAGTTATAGTTTGGCTAGAAAAACCCGGTAAGTGAAGCGAGCCAAACATCATAATAAATCACATGAATATTTAATACACAATCACATGATCTTCCAGTAATTTTTCCACCAGTTAAAATTTAGAAATTCTCTTTAAATCTTAAAAACTATTTATCATAATTATGATACTGTATGGTAGTATAAATCAACTTAATTAAAAAAAAGTCAGAATTATTACAGTTCTAATTACACTATGACTATAGCTCCCTGCCATGTTTAATGTTAACTTGTTGTAATATATATAAAATTATGCAATCCAGTATAATTTATTGGTAACGATGATCGTATTATTTTGTAGTGTATAAATTAGTTGGTACGTTGAAAAGCTTTAGCCTGTTCCACTAAAATAACCAGTACAAAATTATAAACTATAAGTAAAGATGTGTCCACAATACCCTAATTGCGGATTAATTGCGATTTGCGATATTGCGGAACATTGCAGATTTTGAAGAATAATTGTTCACAAATCTGCAATCGCAAATAATCCGCAAATCCGCAAATAATCTCAAAAATTATGATTGACTGTAGATCATCTTCACATGATCATTTTTTTTGTAAAATATTCCCACCGAAGCGAAAAAAAAATTTTCTCGCCAGAATACGGGAATATTATTTACAAAATCCAATTAAAATAATAATAATATATCAGATTATTCAGCCATAATCAATACATTATTTTAACAATTATATATATCATTGTATCAAAACTCATTCTATCAAATGTATCACAATATACAATTACATATCAAAACAATCGTGTTATCAAATGTTATTATTTGATCAATTAAATAAATATCAGTTTTTTTTACAGTTTTTAGTACCCCAATTGCTTTCTTCTCTCTTCATTTTAAAAATAAAAAATAAAGTATCAGCTTTTAAAATATTGAATAAATATATTAGAAATGTCAAAAACACTCTGTTCAGTTCTCAATTCAAAAATTCGTGGGAAAAAAGTTTATTTACCCGATGACGATGAAAGCTTAATTTCAATAGCACTTTCTCTTGTTTGGACAAACACTGGTAAAAAAATGGTCTATCCTACACATATTCTACACATATTTTACATATATCGGGTACTCAAAATGTAGAAAATCATACACAAATAATACACATATCATACACATATCGGGTACTTATATATATAGTATACCTATTAGGTACCTGATATATGTATGATATATATATTAGTACCTGATATGTGTATGATATGTGTATTATTTGTGTATGATTTTCTACATTTTAAGTACCCAATATGTGTAAGATATGTGTAGGATAAATCATTTTTTTACCAGTGAAAGACGGATAAAAAAATTGATTTGTGTACTTTTGAGCAAGATAGAGTAAGAATGTCATATAAAAAAAATGAAGGTCATATTACTCATATATATTTTGATCTGGAGGAATCGTTGTCAAATTTTACATTTATTGATAAGGTATATGATAATTTTGTCCCCTTCCCCTTTATTTTGTTTCTGTCCATTTTTCAGTTTTGGACAACTTTGTCCACTTTCACAGGTCAAAAAGTGAAAAATCAGGCACCAATCGGTCACCAAT